ATCATAATCATTAGAAAATGTAAATTAAAGTAACTCTGAGGTTCTGCATCACACCCATCAGATTGGCAAAATTGACCAAGAAAAAGAAAATGACAAATGTGGAGACTTTGGGGAAACAGGCACATTAATGCGCTGTTGGTAGAGCTGTTAATGGATCCAACCATTCTGGAAAGCATTATGAACTAATACCTCAAAATTTACTAAATGGCACATACATTGTGCATCAACCATATCATTATAAGGTATATCCCCAAAGAGACCAAGAAAAAGGAAACAGCCCTTTGTATACAAAAATATTTATAGCAGGTCCTTTTGTGGTGGGAAAGAACTGGAAATTAAGAATGTACTAATCAATAGGGGATTAGTTAAATGAATTATGGTATATGAATGTAGTGGAATATTATTGTGTTATAAGACAAGACAGAGGGCATGGTTTCAGAAAAACCTGGGAAAATTTCTATAAACTGATGCAGAATGAAATAAATGAGGAGAATAGGAGAACAATGCTTTCTATAACAATACTGTAAAAATGAACAACTGTGAAAGACTTAAGAACTCTGACCAATGAGGAAGAATGCTGTCCACTTCCTGACAGAGGTGATGGACAAATATGCAGAATGAAACACCCATTTTTGAACATGGCCAATATTTTTTCTTGACTGTGTACATTTGTTACAAGGTTTTTTTTTTCTTTTTTTTTCCTCTGTGAGGACAGGTAGTGGGAGGGAGAAAAAATAAATGCTGGTTAATTGAAAAAAAAAATCCATCCTTCAATGACATAAATTTAAACAATAAATAAGTTCAGATTTGTTTAGGAGGTAAATGCATAAGATAATTTTTATTCTTATATGCTACCAACAAGAAAGTAATAATTTAACAAGTTTCATAACAGTAACAAAGAATCTAGGAATTGGCATACCTAGGTACACATGTGACATATAAAGATGATGTTTATAATAGCAATGATAGAAATAAAATGTAAAGGATGTTGATCTGGGGAGCCCCTGATCAATTCGCTGAGCGTAAAGGACATGGTCCTTTGTAGGCATCTGAAATGGAAACTCCCATGGTTGTTAGGTATATATACTGTCTTTCAGAAAAGACAATGGACATTCCTCTGAGTGGTTCCTAGGGACTAGTGCTTCCTACAATCTGATTAGTGACTGAGAGTCAGAAGGATGAATATAGACCCATCACAGTCATAAGCAAGCTAGCAGGCATTCATTCCACTTTTAGGACCTTTGCTTCTATTTTTCCTTTGTGTGTGTTTGCATAGAATAACAAAGATCCAGAGAGGCTATGGGTCCTCCAGGCATTTAATGGTGGCTGACAAGTTGCATTTGTTTACCCAGGGGTAAAGGTCCACTACAGATTCAGATTACCCAGGGGTAATAGGTCCACTACAGATTTGTATTACACAACTTCAACTGGGGCCTCACTGCAGCAGGGCAATTCTTTTATCATCTCATCCCTAATTAATTCACCATAACCCTCACCACAGTGGATTTTCTAGACATTTTCATCCCTCTTCAAATCTCTATAGCTCCACCTTCCCCTCCCTCTCAGGTGAAAACCTTGCCTCATATTTCACTGACAGAAGAGATCATGGGCCTCCAGTACCTGACTGCCTTTCATCTTTCTCTTTAAGCACAAGAGTTCTGGGCCTAATGAGACTGGAGAGCACCCCTCCTCTCCCTATCTTTATCAGCTCTACCCCAACCCTCACAGAGGGGCAGAGCATTGAGTTCCAAACCAATGAGCTCTGGGACTCAGATTACATGGGTCATCCCAAATTTAAGCGTTCCCAAGTAGAGGGAGGTGGTTTTCTCAACAGCATGCTTCTTGGAGAAGGAAGAAGAATGCCAACAAGGAAGACCCCTGCAGCCGTAGAACTGGAAATGCTTCGAGAAATCTTGGGAGAATTTGAACCTTACTACCCTCCCAGTTATTGCAGTGAGTGTCTCAGATAGTCAAGGTCTGATAACAATAGGAACAACTAGTATTTACACAGCACTTTAAAGTTTAAAAATCCCTTTACAAATATTGCCTTATTTGATCCTCACAACGACCCTGGAAGGTAAGTGCTATTCTTATCTTCTTTTTACAGATGAGGAAACTAAGGCAGGCAAAGGTTAAGTGACTTGCCCAAGGTCTTCATTTAATCAGACCAAGGGTTACTCAAAGGTCTTTTGGGAGCCCAATTATGTTCTTCATTACATTGCGAAACTTGAACCAATTCAGGTTTGCACTATCCACTTCTTTCAATCCCCTTGCCTCTTATCCTGCTGATTTTGCCCTGCCAAAAACATCATCCTTGGATCACTCCTCCATCCATTGCCCTTGCTTCTACTCATGTGCTGCAAAATGAAGCTGGAGAAAATAATTCAACCATTCTGACTAGGTCCACTACAGATTTGTATTACACAACTTCAACTGGGGCCTCACTGCAGCAAGGCAATTCTTTTATCATCTCATCCCTAATTAATTCACCATAACCCTCACCACAGTGGGTTTTCTAGACATTTTCATCCCTCTTCAAATCTCTATAGCTCCACCTTCCCCTCCCTCTCAGGTGAAAACCTTGCCTCATATTTCACTGAAGAAATTGAGGCCATTCACAGAGAGCTCCGTCTTCTCCTTTCCTTCTTGTTTCATATCACATGACCCCTCCTGCTAGCATCTCTTCCTTCACCCCTCTCCCATGAAGAGGTGGCCCTTCTCCTTGCCAAGACTATCCTCTCCACATGTACAAATTATCCTATTCCATTCTATCTTCTCTACCAGGTTGCCCCTTCCATCATCGCCACTCTTTCACTAATTTTCATTTGCTCCCTGTCTACTGACTGCTTCCCAACTGCCTAAAAATATGCGCATATCTCCCCTATACTCAAAAAAGTTTACTTGATCTGTATGTCCATCCCCACTATCATCCATATCTCTCCTCCCTTTTGGGGCTGAGAAGACCACCTACAATCAACTCCTCTATTTCATTTTTTTCTCACTCTCTTTTTAACTGTCTATAGTCTGGCTTCTGACCTCATCATTCAACTGAAATTGCTCTCACCAAAGTTACTAATGATGTCTTAATTGCCAAATCTAATGGCCTTTTCTCAATCCTCATTCTTGACCTCTCCCCAACCTTTGACCCTGTCAATTACCCTTTATTCCTTTATACTCTCTTCTATCTAGGTTTTTATGACAGTACTTTCTCTGGTTCTCCTTCTACCTGGATGACCATTCCTTCTCTGTCTCCTTTGCTGGACTTTTCATGCACACCATGTCCACTAAATGTAGGAGCCCCTCAGGGATCCGTTTTGCTTTCTTTTCTCTTCTCCCTCTATATTATTTCACTTAGTGATCTTATCAGTTCCCAGAGATTCAATTATCAACTCTATGCTATGATTCTCAGATTTCTCTATCTAGCCCTAATGTCTCACTGATCTCCAGACTCCTAACTTCACTTGTTTATTAGACAACTCAAATCGGCTGTCCAATAGATATGTAAGACTCAAAATATCCAAAAGTGAATTAATTATCTTTCTCTCAAATCATTCTCACCTTCCAAAACTTTCCTATCCAAAACTTTCCTATGAATGTTAAGGGTACCACCACCCTCCCAGTTATTCAGGATTACAACCTAGCTGTCATTTTCAACTCTCTCACCCTCCATATGCAATCTGTTGCTAAGGCCTGTCATTTTTGTCTTCATAATCTCTCTCCTATTCTCCTCCTCCTCCTCTCCTCTGACACTACCACCACACTGATGTAGGCCCTCAACATCTCATACCTGAACATTGCAAAGGTCTCTGGTTGAGTTTCCTGCCTCAAGTCTTTCCCCACCCTAGTCCATCTTCTACTCAGCTATCAAAGGGATCTTCCTAAAACCTAGATCTGACCATGTCACCCTGCCTCCCTCCCCCTCACACACACACATACACAGTCAATAAATTCCAGCGCACTCACCTCAGGATCAAATACAAAATCCTCTGTTTAGTATTCAAAGTCCTACATAAGCTGGTTCCCACCAACCTTTCTAGTCTCCTTACACCATATACCCCACCTTCATGCTCTGTGATTTAGTGACACTGGCCTCCTTGCTGTTCCTCAAATAAGATTCTTCATTTCTGGACAAGGGGCATTGTCACTGGTTATTCCTCATGCCTGGTACTGTGTACAATGTTTTCCTGGTTCTGCTCATTTCACTTTGCATCAGTCCATACAAGTCTTTCCAGGTTTTTCTGAAGTCTGCCTGCTCATCATTTCTTATTCCACAATAGTATTCCATTACATTCATATGCCACAACTTGTTCAGCCACTCCCCAATTGATGAGCATCCCATCAATTTCCAATATTTTGCCACCAAGAAAAGGGTTTCATGTCTGGAATTCTCTTCCTCCTCATTTCTGCCTCATGGCTTCCCTGATCAAGTCCCAGCCAAAATTCTGCCTTCTCCGAGAAGCCTTTACACACACACACACACACACACACTCCGTTTACTGTAATGCATTCCCTCTCTTGGTTATTTGTAATTTATCCTGTATGTAGTTTGTTTGTACATATTTTTTGCATGTTGTCTCCCCTATTAGATTGTGAACTTCTTGAGGGCAGAAACTGTCTTTAACCATTCTTTGTATCTGCAGAGCTTAGCACACTGCCTGGCACGCAGTAGGTGCTTAATAAATGCTTGTTGACCGACTGCTACTTAGGATAAAGGGAGAAGCTCTCTCATACCCCAACACTCGGCAGGTTTTAAATGAAACAGGAATGCATGATTTGAATTTGCTCCCTTTCTCACTACGTACCTCTCTATTGCTGCCCTGTCTCTTAGGGTTAAATGCATTTTTATGTTTAACGATGTGTCACCATAACATTTATGGTTGTTATTTCTCCCAGGTTGGAGAAAATATAACAAAGAACACGCGTTGAACTACAACTCCCAGAAGGCACATAGCAGGAGGCGCTCAGGGAACGGAAGTGACGTAAGAGAGAGGCGGGGGGAAGGGTATGGCGGTGATTTGACTGCTGTTGGACGTTATGTGTATGGTGCTGCAGTAAGGGACGTACCCTCTAGAGGCTTTTGTGTCCCAGGCCTTACAGGGAGGTTCCGTATTCTTTGCGGAAGCTCGAGAAGACGGGATCTCAGGGATACCTTCCGGTGCTGTCTTCGGTGAGATATGAAAGTTGGGAGTTAGGGGAAGTGGGTAGGGCTAAAAAAAAATAAGGCGGATGAGGGCGGTGCTAAGGTGAATCTCCCGCGGAGTGCGGCGCCCCCTGCTGGGGTTTACATTTCGTGGCGGTTGGGGGCGTTTGGCCTTTTCGGTTTGCCTTGGTTGGTCACATGGCCCGGGTCTTTGCTCCCTGGGAGCACGTGCTGAAGGGTGCTGGGTTTTAGACAGTTCACTGCCGGAGACTTCTTTTTTCACATATTTGTGTGTATGTATGCGTATGTGTACATACACATACATGTGTATATCCATATAGTAACATTTCTATGCAATTTATTTTTTAAAACATATGTTGAGGATATATATGTATACATATATGTATGTATTTTAAAAATAAATGTTATTGAAATGTTTTTTTCATCACCAGATTTTCTCTAAGTATTCTTCCCCATTTTCTCCTAGAGAGACATCTCATGTAACAAATGATATTTATTCAGAAAGAAAAAGGGGAAGAGGAAAAAGCAAAAATGATCAACACATCCAAAAAATTCAGCAAAATACCACCACCGTGAACCTCTTACCTCTGCAAAGAGTGGGGTCTTATCTCTTCTTTGGCGACATATTTGTTCTGTATAATTTTGCCACATTTTATTGTTTTATGGTGGTTCTTGCCATTTACTTTAAATTTTTTGTAGTCTTAAAAGCTGCCTTAAGAAAGGAGAAGAGCAGTGAGGCTTGCTTTTCTAGTGTAATGAACTTCTGTTGTATATAGCTAGCCCCTGGGGGGAAAGAAAAATAGGAGAGAAAGAGGGGGTGAATCTCAGGTGGGCACCAGAGGTGAATGCCCAAAGTGGCATAGGTAGGTAGATAGATACAGATATATATGTGTATATACATACATATATATAGCCTGTACATGTATGTGTATACATATATAAATATACACACATGCACACACACACGTGTGTGTGTGTGTGTGTGTGTGTGTGTGTATGTGGCTAGATAGGAACATAGATGTATCATTAAGCTCCCTTCTTTCTTTTAGAGGTGGGGGACTGTAGATGTGGAACATTGCATAAACTGTCAGACATATTGGTTATTTCTGCTGAACTGCTTTTCCCCCACGTCTTTTAAAAAATTTTTGTTACAAAGGGTTGCTCATTGAATAGAGAAGGGATATATTAGGAAATGAAAGTGAGAACCTATCAAAAATAAAATGCATGTATCTATTAGTGTCAGTCAAGTTTTTGACAGTGTTGTTTACTGCTTGTTTTCATTGTATGCCTGCATCGTATGTATGTTCTTTATCTGACTGTGTTCACAAAAGAATCTGGACATATGAATGAATGAGGGAAAGAAGGGAAGAAGAAAGAAAGGAAGGAGGGAAGAAAAGTAGTAAGGAAGGAACGAGAAAGGAAGGAGGGAAGGAAAGGAATAGGGATGGATGGATTTATTAAGCAATTACTATGTGCAAAGCACTGTGCTAAGCATTGGGGGATATACAGAGAAAAAAGTTAGTCCCTGTTCTCAAGGAGCTCTCGTTTTAATAGGGGACACCACACTTATGAAGGGTTTCAGCTACAAGTCAGTTGAAAAGTTTCCATGGTACTTAAGGCACAGCAGCAAAGAGCCTCTCCTTTTGTGTTGCTTCCACTGATAAAAATCATATCATTTTTTCACGTTAAACCATTTCACAGTGCCAAGGACTTGAGTGGCAAGAACTTTCCTGGGTCTTCAGTAGCTGTGGCTGTAGTCCTTGCCAAGCTGCATCTCAGCAGGGGTTGTTTCCCAGGATGATGACTGAGGGTATTAGGTTGGAAACATTGCTATTTCCAAGGCTTTTGGGTTCAAAGTCCTGTGCTGTCTCCTTGAGAGTCTGAGGGGAGATAGGTCAAGGTGGCAGTGGTAAAGATTCCGCTGGTCCTGTCTCTCAGGGTGCCCCTCTGCTTCAGCTATGCTGGCTGGCTTGTCCTGAGTGTGGTAGGTGGTTGACATTTGACGGGTTTGACTGGCCACTTCTCCACAGGAGTTCCTTCCCTATCAAGGCTGACCTGGAAGCAGGACTAAAGGGTCTGGGGGTGGGGTGGGGTGGTGGTGCTCAGTGGTGTAGTAGACAGAGTACCAGGCTTGGAGCTAGGAAGACCTGAGTTCAGATCCTACCTCAGACAGTCACTAGCTGTGTGATCCTGGGCAAGTCACTTAACCTTGGTTTGCCTCAATTACCTCATCTGTAAAATAGGACTAATAACACCACCTACTTTCAAGGTCGTGGGGATCCAATGAGAAAATAATTGTAAAGTACTTAGCATAGTGTCTGGCACATAGTAAGTGCTGTGTAAATATCAGCCATAGAACTATAACTCCGAGGGCACATGTGCGTATCTCTGGTGGGTGACAGTTGTTTAGCAGCTGCTCCTGGTGGTAATGATGAACGTGAGGGTTGGGCTGGAAGCAGGTCTGGTGGTTTAGGCTACACTTGTCAGGCTATGGGGTAGTGGTAGGGATTCAACTTGCTTGGCGTGTGCTGCCTCCTGTTTCTTCCTCCCTTGGAGTGCTTTGTTGCTTCAGCTAGACTGGTGGGTACAGACAGAGAATACCAGTTTCAGTGATTTTATGTAATGACTTGAAAATTGTTCCCTTTCTGCAGACTGTCCTCTGTAGGAAAAGCAAGAAGCTTGATTAAAGACATGGAGCACAAGCCAGAAGGGTCTCCCCCCCAAGCTGAATCCTGCTTGCCAAACAGGCAAGAAGTCAGCCTGGAAGATGGAAATGAAGAAATGGCCCTTGAAAGTTTGCAGCTTTTGCAGATTGATACTGAGTTTGAGAGTGGAAGGGCCTTGCCCATGGATGGAGAGATGTGGTGCTCGGTATGTGCAGTGGCCATCATTGAGCTTTATAGAAATGAAAAGATCAAGCAAAAACAAGCCTTCTCCAGCTCTTGTGTTCATGGAAAGAGAGTGGGGTGAATGGAGTCAGGAGGACCTGAGTTCAAATCCAGCCTCAGACACGTAACATTTACTAGCTGTGTGACCCTGGGCAAGTCACTTAACCTCAATTGCCTCACCAAAAAGCAAAAAAAAAAAAAAGAGAGAGAGAGGGAATACTTCTAGATGGACAGATGAATATCCATTTGATTGATGTTACCAGATAGTCCCATTTGAGTGAAGGGAAAAAAAACCCAAACCTTTTGGATGAGGAAAATTGAATAGACACAATGAGATTTAGTAGAAAGAGCCTTGGACTAAAAAGAAACCTGGGCATCTCAGTTTTACCATTTAAGATTGGAGGTAAAATCAGCCTTGCCTTCCTCACAAGTTGTCTTGAAGCTGATAGTTGATTAGACACTTAAGCTCCTACTATGTGCCAAGCAGTGTGCTAAGTACTGGGGATACAAAGAAAGGCTAAAGACAGTCAGTGCCCTTGAGGAGCTCACAGTCTAATGGGGGAGATAATATGTAAATAACTGGGCACAAACAAGCTATAGACAGGATAAATCAGAGTGGGATCATCTGCATATCTGAGATTGTTGATATTTCTCTCTGTAACCTTAATTCTGGCTTTGGATTTATCCAGCCTGGTATTTTGCATGAGGTACTCTGCTTATAAGTTAAACAAATAAGGGGACAATGTATGGACTTGTACTTTTCTAACCTTTTTTTTTTAAGTCAATTGTGGTTAAGTGACTTGCTTAGGGTCACACAGCTAGTAAGTGTATGAGGCTAAATTTGAGTCCTTACTGACTCCAGGGCCACTATCCACCATACCATCTAGCTGCCCATCCTTTTGCAATCTTAAACTAATAAGTTAGGAGCAGCTAGGTGGTGCAGTGGATAGAGCACCCGCCCTGGAGTCAGGAACACCTGGGTTCAAATCTGGCCTCAGACACTTGACACTTACTAGCTGTGTGACCCTGGGCAAGTCACTTCACCCCATCACCACACAAAAAAAACCAAAACCCCAATCAGTTGTTCCATATTCAGTTCTAACTGTTGCTTCTTTTTTCTTTTTTGGTGAGGCAGTCAGGGTTAACTTGCCCAGGGTCACACAGCTAGTATGTGTCAAATGTCTGAGTTCATATTTGAACTCAGGAACTCCTGACTCTGGGGCTGGTACTCTATCATTCTATTCACTGAGCCACCTAGCCACCTTGCTTCTTGGCCTGCATACAGGTTTCTCATGGTTTGCTACTCCCATCTCTTTAAGGACTTGTCACATTTTGTTGTGTTATGGAAATGCTGAAGTTTTCAATATTTGAATACTTGAAATTTTGATTTTTAAATATCTAAATTTTAAATATTGAAATGAAATATTCTTAAATATTGAAGTTTAACATTGAAATGTTAAGGGGCTATTATTATCTCTAAACTTTAATACTTATAACATTGAATTTTTTATGCTTATGAGGTTCTCAAACATTTTGTTTTATGGATGACATAAGAAAAATGTCTTGCGGAAACAGAGGCACTGGGAAAAGATAGTTGCAGCAAAGAAGAGCAAAAGAAAACAGAAAAGAGAGAGAAGAAAAGCACAACATGCAGAAAATACAGGTACCGACCAACCTGGCTGTGCAGATGCTGAGGTTTTCTTTTAATTGGGTGTCTGTGACAGTGACCTTCACATACCTAGTTAGATGGTAAACATTGTAAAAGAGAAAAAACCACAAATTGTCCGCATGAATTTGTACCCACTGTCCCTGTTTTGTTCCTCTTTGTCAAGATGGGTAGTATAGAAATAGAAGCAAAGCATCAACTTTACAAGTTATGTCGTTAAACTCTCTCTTGTCCAGTTAGTGTCTTTGTTTTTATGCCCTGAAACTATTGAAGACCAATGTCCATTTTTTTATCGATTACCATTCTTGAAGCTAAAGTTTCCTTTCACACCTTTTGAAAATACTTAGCTAAAAGGGGAAACTCAACTGGATTTTCCTTGTTAACTTTTGTTCAATGATGTGGACTTTCTGTTCCCTCCCTATGGTTGTGCATCAGGTGTGAGCCCTCAGCAGAGCAAACGGGTTTTGAAAGCCATGACCAAAGAGAAGCTTTTGGCAGCCAAAAGTTCGGGACCCAAACTGTGCATAGATTTGAGTATGACCAATCGAATGACTAAGAAGGTAATGTAGGCCGCATGTTAAAAATTCATTTTGTTTCTTATTTTTACTTGTGGTATGGATGATACACCAGTGAAAGGATATTTTTCTTTAAGGTTTGACTGAATATATCCAGATTGACTGAAAATTTAGTGAAAATCTTTGAAAACAAATAGAAGCTGGTTTTGGGAGGGAAGATGATGCTTTTCACATAATCATCACTCAAATGTACTACTCCCACATGATTTAATGAATGAGTTCTAGGGTTGAACAATGGGTAAGAACCTTGATAAGGGGTTAATGGAAGTGCCTGATGAAATCACAGCTATAGAGAAAGAAATCAGAGCAATGGAGGACTGAGAATTAATATATAAAATACTACTTGATAATTGCAGCCATCCTTGTCATAACTTTTTAAAATTGACATTCACAACCAAAATTAATAAAAGAAGTATCTCAGTATTTCTGTAAGGTGAGTGTATTCCCATTTCACAGATGAGGAAACCGGGTCCCAGAAAGGCTAAGTAAATTGCTCGAGGTCACACAGGTAGTAGGTGGCAAAGCTAGTGTTAAACCCAGATAGGAAGATAGGAAGATTAAGACTATATTCCAAAAGGTTAAGGTGAGTGGATGTCTGATTGTTGGATATGTGGGGTGTTACTGCACTTTTCAAAGTAAGGAGAACAAAAAGGCCAGAAAATATGCCCTTTGCTCAGATACAAAGAGAAGGGGAAAATTTAACCACCAAAAACTATGAGAAAAGTAAGCATGATATTTTTGAAGAATAGGAATTAACCCAAAATTCAAAGATCTGAGATTAGATTATGTAAGCATTAAATCTCAACCAAAGCCTAGAACCAAAAACAAATTTAGTAATTAAGGAACTTCTATTCTTGTTGGATTTATACCATTTTAGTATAATACCTTCTACAGAAAGCCTTTCCCAATCCCTCTTAATTCTAGTTTCTTCCCTTTGGTCATTATTTCCTGTTTATCCTATATAGAGCGTATGTGGGGTTGGGGGGGGTGTCAATTCTCATTATTTGTGGACTCTGTATTTGCAAATTCCTATACTCCCTAAAATTTCTTTCAAACTCCTAAATCAGCACTAGTGGCACTTTGTGTCATTGGCAGACATGTGCAGAGCAGTAGAAAATTTGAGTCGCCCAATGAATATGTTCCAGGCTGAGGCTGAACAAGGAAGGCCTTCTTTCAGTTCTCATACTGTAAACTAGTGTCCTTTTTGAGGTCTGTATAATGCCACACTTTTCGAATTTTTGTGCATTTTATTGTTGTAAAATGGCCCCCAAGTGTAGTGCTGTAGTGCTGCATAGTGTTCCTGAGTGCATGAAGACTTCAAGGTGCCTTACAGAGAAAATACATAGGTTACATAAGCTTTGTTCAGGTATGAGCTAATGAATCAGCAATATGGTACAGCCTGAAAGTGGAAGGGAAAGTCACCGATCTGCATGTGAGGCCGCTTCAGAAAGTGCCAAAGTAAATATCGTGACCAGAGGCTCCAAGGCACCTCACCCTGTATTTCTCTGATCGGTGGATATGGGGGTGTTACTGCATTCTTCAAAGTAAAGAAAACGAAAAGGCTGGAGCAGTGGTCCAGTATTCTCTAATTTGGTGTTTGTGATGACTTTATAGAACACAACTACATGAAGGATAAGGATCGACTGTACTTGTTTCTCGTTGTCTCCCCCTTTAGACTGGGAGCTTCTTGGCGGTAGGGATTGTCTTTTGCCTCTTGTTGTATCCCCAGCACTTAGCACAGTGTCTAGTACATAGTAGGTGCTTAATAAATGCTTATTAATTGACTGACATTTTTCTGTAGAGTTGACCAGGGTAGAAATGAATTGAGGCGGCTTGGTGCAATGAAAAGAGTGATAGGCTTAGAACCGGAGGACCCAGGTTTGAAGTTCACCTTTGCTGCTCACTACCTATGTGACTTGAGGCAGGTCATAGAATCTCTGTGGGAATTATAAATAAAATGAGGGGGTGATGTTCCTATGAATGTCAGCTCCTTGAGAGCAAAGACTGTTTCATCTTTATAAAAGCTAGCATTGATCTCTGCACTTGGTAGGTGTTTGCTGAACTGAATTGTTGGAGTACCACGTGGAAGGGCTTTCCCTGTGGAGGGAATGAGGGAAAGTTCTCAGCCTTCCTCTTAAGGTGTTGTTTCTAACCAAGTGCTAACAATGCCTCTTTGGGCCTGGTGTCTTTGGAATGTGGCTTATGTTTCTTGGAAATGTGGCTCAACTACCTTGTAGAAATGTTAAAAAGATCAGTAACAAATCTAGCGTGAACTCAAACTGAATGCTTGGATGAAAAGAGCCCTAAAAATACACAGAGTTTTTACTAATTAGATGTATTTACGATGCTTAAGTGGTGTTACATTTATGCACTGAGAAATATTATCATCTCTTTGAAGGAATTAAGCCGATTGGCTGGACAGATCCGAAGGTTATATGGTTCAAATAAAAAAGCCAAGAAGCCATTCTGGATCTGCCTCACTGGATTCACGACTGATAGCCCTTTATATGAAGAGTGTTTAAGGATGAATGATGGATTCTCTAACTATCTTGTAAGTTTCTTCATGGAAATTTTCTTTTTAAAAAACAATTGTAGGGGCAGCTAGGTGGCACAGTGGATAGATAGAGCACTGGCCCTGGAGTCAAGAGGACCTTAGTTCCAATGCAGCCTCAGATACTTACCAGCTAGCTGTGTGACCCTGGGCAAGTCACTTAACCCCCATTGCCTCTAAAATTTAAAAAAAAAATGTATTCATGTTTTTACATCACATTAATTTCCATACATGTCCATTCCTTCTTCCTTACCCAGCAAACCATTTGTTAAGAAAAGATAGTGAAAGCAGTTCAGCTTTTCAGAGTGAAACCAAATAGTCTCTCATACCCATACCCATAGTCTCTTATCCCCACAAAGAAGGCAGGTGTATTTTCTCATCTTTTCAACAGATCCAAGCTCCTTGGTTTTTATAATTAATGTTCATAGCATTCAGATTTGGTTTTTATTCTTTCTGTTTACATTATTATATCAGGCCACTCTGCTATGGCCCATCCACCATCCCTGTATTGTAAACCAAAGTCCCAGGCTCTGACTACCACTCCTTTATGTGGTTTTCTACCCTTGTCAGTATGTAAGTTCCCTGAAGACAGAGCTGGTCTTTGCTTTTGTATTTGTATCCCTAGCACTTCACACAGTGTTTGGCACATAGTAAACACTTAATACTTTTTCATTCATTCAGTTTATTCAATACATACATGTATACATACACTATATATGTGTGTGCATGTATATGTATATACATATACATGTATCGTTTTCATATAAAGTATTTTCCAGAGTACTCTGAGAAATTGATTCTGGGACGCTGGCAAATTAAATATTTGGGACTGTCTTTTAAAATTGTTTCAGGTTTGGTGCTAAGTGAAGATGAAACTTATAATCTTGTAATTATCGCAGGCTAAGGATAGACTGAAATTTGTCAGCCCTCAACATCTTCTTATTGTTTCCACTGTTTTGGTACCTTAACAAAATGCTTGACTGATTCTCAGGGGAGATATTTTGAAATTTTGTTTAATCTCGAACCTGAAGGAAATAATGTGAAGATTTTTTTTCTTGATGTATAGCTTTTCTCTTATCCTTGGCAATATATGATTGGGAACTTTGGGAATTGAAAAGACAGAGAGGGAGGGGATTTAATAAGGAAAAGTTTGCTTTGATTGAACCATTTCAGACTTGACTAGGAGTCAAGAAGTCTGGGTTCTCCTCCCAGCTTTTCCTCTGGTTGTATGACTGTAGATAAGTCACTTAACCTGAAGGGGTGTCCTCTGAGGTCCTTTCGTGCCCTAAATCCTGTACTTCTCTGATGCTGTAACTGCATGACCAGAGTGTACATGAAGACATGATCCTCTAAGATTCTGTGATCTCAGAGTGAAGTGACATCTTTGCATACCCAACTCCAGGTGGTCACCTAATATAAAGAACCCCAAATGAGTTATTATCACCTTATGAAAAAAATTTCCCTGTTTATTTACATATAACTTTAGACTTGAGGTAGGAAAATGTAAAGATTTCCCTGTTGTCTTTGAACTAATAACACATTTAAAATCTGGCACTTTTCAGATAGATACAACAGAAGAAGACTGTCTTAATTTATTTCCTTTGGAAAGTCTTGTGTACCTCACGCCTGATTCAGAACATGGTACGTACTCTACTTATGTTAAGGTTCCCCAGCCAGTGCATCTGATGGATCATGCTGCCCTGGCTTCCCACACTCCCTTTTACAAAATGAGATAAATGGAGAAGATAGATGGTAGACATGATAGTAACAAACCATCAGTCACAGCTTTTCCTAAATGATCTCATACACACATCAGAAGGATGATTTTCATAATGCATCCTCTGTATCGCAACCTGTTGGCCTTGTACAAAGTCAGCATTAACATGTCAAAAAGAAGGAACAGCCAGGAAGGGGTCATTCTTTCTAGTGTTCCACAAATTACACAGAAACTTCAGCCACCTGAATCTTTTAGGAGAACGTTTAAAAGGACCTCAATTTTCATATCTAGGACCAAAAACAGGACTTTTGGAGAAGCCAATTTGAGCTCAAGATAAAGCAGAACTTTGTAAGCATGAGAGTGGCCCAGGACGAGGATGGTCTGCCTTATTAGGCAGTGCACTGCCACTGTTTGTTACTCAACATATTCCAGCAGATTCTCACAGATGCTGAAGAAGAAATTCCCGAATTGAGTTGGAAGTTGGACTAAATAACCTCTTAAGTTCCCTTCCAAGCTAAGAGTGTATGCTGTAAAGTTGGGTTAAATTAGTATCTTACTTAGCAACAGGTGGCTATCCTTCTACTAGTACCTGAAGAATTTGTCCATACTGGTTTTTCTACTACTAAATGTTGTGAATTGTTCTGTTTAAAAATTATTCTATGAATAATTTTATTAATTATATTAAAAATTATTCTATGAATTTGACCTAATTACTTTATTTTATCGTTAGCCCTTGAAGATGTTGATCTAGATAAGGTTTATATCATTGGTGGTCTTGTGGATGAAAGCATTCAAAAGGTGAGTGGACATTCCAAGATATAAACCTATATTTCCCAAACTGATATACAAATCTTCTGCCTTATCAACTCACGAAAGGAAACTGAGGCAAACAGGATTAAGTGACTTGCCCAGAATCATAGGGCTAGTGAGTGTCTGAGGTCACATTTGAACTCAGAAGATGAGTCTTCTGACATCAGGCCTAGCACTGTGTCCACTGTGCCACCTGAGTTTAGAGTAAGAAGCAGAAAAGTGTTTCTTTCCTTAACTAGTCACCTCTCTTGGCAATTTCGTCATCCACTTATCAAAAACAGTGTCAGAGATCCTGAGTCTACCTGGTAAGCTTTGAATCAGGTGGGTGGTATTTTGAAACGGCAAAAATAGACTAGTTTCAGGGCAGCTAGGTGGCACAGTAGATAGAGCACCGGCCCTAAAGTCAGGAGGACCTGAGTTCAAATCCAGCCTCAGACCAAACTCTTGCCACTTACTAGATGTGTGACCCTGGGCAAGTCACTTAACCACAATGGCCTAAAAATTTTAAAAATTAAAAAAATAAAATAAAATAGACTAGTTTCTTCCTCTGGCTCTTTCTTTCCTTGTGTAACAAAGACAGTACTACATTTTACTGAAGCTAGCTTTTTAAAAATTCTTCTATTATGATTTATCAGGAAGTAGAATATCAGAGCAAGACATTTCCATGTTCCTTTTCTGTTTTTGGAAACAATAGCCAGCTCCCTTTCTAAATCAGTCTTTTTTGAGTCTTTTAAAATTCTTTTAGAATGGCATTTTGTTGGAATACTTAGGAGGGCCCTGGGACATTAAAGCTTGGATGTTACACAAGTTTTCTTCTTGATGGCATTTTTAGTTAGCATGATTAGGCTTCTTTCAGAATATCTGATCACCAAGGGGAGTTACTGTTCTCCCACATCATTGATACTGGTTCTACTTGAGGAATATGGCATTCAAGTACAGAGGCAGTAACCTTGTTTAGTACCTGGAAATGTGCAGCTTTTACAAGTGGTCTTTGCTTCTCACCTCAGCAATATGTAAGCAAGCATGTTACTGCCTGGGATGAAGATTTATAAACAGCTTCCTGGCCTGTTTAACACGCTTCTTCTGCGGCTGTAAACCACTCCTTTTTGGCATTTCAGCTTTTAAACAATAATAACCTAGGAAGAAGAGGACCCTTCAAGACAGAATCTTATTTTTTCTTTTAAATTAACAAGGAATAGACGCTGGGTTGTAAATTCCTTCAAAGTAGGGACTTACTGTATTATCTATGTGTACACATGCAAGTTAGAATTGGGCCCAATAGAACAATAGATTGGCCCTGAGTGGAAAGCCAGGAGGGTTTCCTATGATCTCGAGCTTTAGTGCATGTATTTTTCAACATGCGTTTTGGTGGCTGAGAAGCTTTTTCCCTTTTTTCTGTTTCTCACTGGTGTTCCAGGTATCTGAGACTGCCACATTACTGGCCTCCAAATAAGCAGGGCATTACTGGGTATGGAAATAAAATCAAACTCAGCTCCTTGTTACGTTTGACAAATGTTAGTATGGTACTTTTTTGTTATTTCCAGAATCTAGTGTTCCTTATGTCGGTTACTTACAACTTAACATGATACATTTAAATTGTATGATTTATAGAAGCTGACATTTCAGAAGGCTCGAGAAAACTCAATCCAGACTGCCCGCCTGCCAATCCAGGAATACATGGTGAAAAATGCCAATGCCAAGAACTACCATTCAGAGATACTGGCAATCAATCAAGGTGATGATCGGATTACCAATTTCTAGATTGTTGTTTTTAAAGCTTTTATAACAGCTTTTAGGTTCAGACAGAGATGCCCCATAGCATTAGTGGAGTGTCGCATACTCCAAAATTAGCCTGAAAATACTTCTCAGTATCAGAGGATAGTAGCAGTATTTAAGGTTAATACCCTAGGTGTCCAGCCTTATCAAGGAATAACTCCTTACACAAAGTTGAATTTTCCACATAACCAAAATTTAATCCTTTAGGCACTAAAACTTTTTTTTTCATTTTAACCGTAACTGTTGGAAATCTTTGAAGGATGTTCCCTGCCTTCTTAAGTAAAGGATAGTGAGCATAAATTCTCTTGATGATTTAGTATCATCATTATACACATCAGTTATTGTACTGGGCTAGAATATAGTGATGCTCCTGAGATGTCTAGAGTTGCGTGCCTGTGCATAGCTCGCCCCTGGGCTGTTGTACTTTTTTTAACTTTTGTGTTCCCTCCACACTTTGTCCCCGTCACTCCTTTCTACTTAACATATCCCTCCTTGTGTGCCAGTCGACTCTTTAATTCATGTATCTGCTGTCATCTCAAAAAGGAGATGGCTAAGCTTGTTAGAATTGCCTCCAAAGTAAGAGTGATCTAGGGGCTCTTTTCTGAGTGAAGTAGACAGACCATGGATGTGGGCTTTTTAACATCTCTTGGGGCTGCTGGGGTCCCCTTCCATTTATGTCCTCCTTTCCTACTGTATTCCACATAGTTGACTTTTCTAGGGAAGTGAAGTGTTTCTGTACTATGGAGCATGATTTGATTTCCCCATCCATTCTGTCTTCTGATATTAAGAGGAATGCATTCCTTTTTTGACCATTATCTGCATGCAAAGAATTAGAGCCCCCAAGGTATGTCTTGTGGGGGAACCTTCAAGTAACACACTGCTCAGATTGGGGGAATCATTTTTTTTTTTTAATGTCTAAGAAGATTATGCTTCCTCTTTGAAATCGATCATCTTCCCTCTCTTTGTAGTTACTTAGTTTATTCTCTGTTTTTTAACAGTATTTGATATCCTGTCAACATATGTGGAGACTCGAAATTGGCCTGCAGCACTGAAAACAGGAGTTTCTCTTGGAAAAGGTTATGTTGTTCCGTGTACAGTGAAATGAGAGATGGTATATCTTTTTTGAGATAGTATCAGAGATTTTTTTTTCTCTTGTAGTAATGACTGGGGAGGAATTATCCTAAACCAGTTCTATCATCATTAAAGGCTAGTCTGAATTTTTCATCTTTACAGTTAAAGGTGAGCCATTGTACTTCAAAAGTATTTCTTATACTTCAGATATTGAAGGCAGGGACTTTTCTGTTTTTTGTTTGTATCTTCAGGGCTTAACATAGTCCCTTGGGCATTGATAAATGCTTGTCAGATTCCAAAAGACTCATGATTGAAAATTCTGTCCACATCCAGAGAAAGAACTGATGGAGTCTGAATGCATTTTGAAGCATACTATTTTCCCTTTATTTTGTTTCATTGTTTTTTCTTTTTGTTTATTCTTTCACAATATGACTAATATGGAAATATGTTTTACATGATTACACATATATAACCTGTATTAAATTACTTACCATCTTAGGGAGAGGGGAGGGGGAGGGAAGGAAGGAGAAAATTTGGAACTCAAAATTTTATAAAAAATGAATGTTAAAAATTGTCTTTACATATAATTGAAAAAATGAAATATATTAAATTAAAAAATAGATGCTTATCAAATTAAATTGGCTTTTTCCTTAAAATATTTATTTAAATGGTATAAAAAATGTTCCCTTATTACTAACATTTGTTGTTACATAAAGGTTACTTATTTGAAAAATTTGTTTTCTGTAGGTGTTTGTACCATGAAAGATAACAGCTGTTAAGTTAATTCCTTAACCATCTCCAAAGGACTGGAACATTAAAAAACTTTTTGTGCTAATTCAGTCTAGAGAGCCCCATAAAATCTTTTTTCTGTTCTTGTTTCCAGATGCCACTCCTCAGAGTTCTCAAGATTTCCATCCTTTCCAGTTTCTCTATGACAAAGCTGATTTGCAGCTTTTATCCTTGGGGGCTTCATTTGGCTACCTGGTTGACTATTTTTTTAAAGTGAATTATCAGGGTTTCTCTGAATCCTGTCCATATACATAACCTTTAGATGTGAGTTCAGATCTGACCTCACACACCTTACGAGCTTTGTGACCCTGGGCAAGTCACTTCACCCTGTTTGCCTCAGTTTCCTCATCTATATAATGAGCTGGGGAAGAAAATAGCAAACCACTACAGTATCTTTACCAAGAAAACCCCATATGGGGTCACAAAGAGTTGGACACAACTGAAATGACTGAACAACAATGAACAAAAACAGATCACTTATGTGAGAATGGTAGCCAAGGTGGCAAGATGGAATCTGCCCTACAGTGAGGAGACTTAGATCAAGTGGGCAGTTTTGGGAGGCCCCTCCTTGCCAGTTTATCCAGGGCTGGATGGAATAATCTATTTCTTGACTAAAGAGAAGTCCTTTTTTTTTTCAGAGAAAGCACCAAGGAACAGTATTTTTCTTGAGCAGATACGGTTTTGTATTCAGTTGTCCCTAGCGCTTGGTCTACATCAGTGTCATCCTTTAGTACGGGCAGTCAGATTTCTGGGAGTCCTCGTGGGATATGTGCATTTGTGCTTTATTTGATGCCCTGGGATTTATTTGTGAGATGATCCCTTATCTTACTATACTCTCCTATCTCTTCAAGGCTCAACGAATCAGCCCAAAACTGCATTGATTTCCTTTTCTAGAGCATTGAGTTTCTAAGAAGAGGAATGTGACTATAAGGTAATGGCTAATTTTCAGAAGTAAAACCTATTAGGATCTTTCTCTCCAAGTAGGTTTTGTCCTCTTTGAACACAGTACGTTGCCCAGAGCACTTTTAGAATTGCCCTCAGCACCCATGTGTGAACATGCCTATGAACATTGACAAGCAGGATGGTCTGACTCAGGCCCCGATAGAGCCTTTCAGCTAGGAACTGAATCACTGAGAGAATTCTAAAGGATAAGGACCCTGGCCTTATCCTGTCATCACTGACACTGCTTCCCTGGGTCCACACTCCCTCCCTACTCTGAGACAGAAACACACACACACACACACACACACACACAGACACACACACACACACACATCACACACTCTGTTAACGTTCCCAAGGTGAAGGCAGCCAAGATGCATAAAATGCCACGTATAAGAGCAGAATCAGAAACCTGGCTTGTCCATGATGCCCTTCCTGAGAGCCCTGGCTTAAGTCTGCTCCTTTATGTATGCTAGCAACTATATCCCTGGGCAGTCACCCAGCCTCTTAACAGCTGTGCTCAGTGGCATAGTAGGGAAAGGGATGGGGGGAGGGGAATAATCATTTGTGTTGCACCTACTAAGTGCCAGGAACTGTGTAAGTGCTTTATAGGTATTATGTCGTATGATCCTCACTACAATTCTGTAAGGTAAGTGCTGGTATTATGCCAATTTTACAGTTGAGGAAACAGAGGCAAACAGAAGTGAAGTGACTTGCCCAGGGATATATAGCTAGTAAGTGCCTAGGGCTGGATTTGAACTCAGGGCTTCCTGACTCCAGGCCCAGAGGTCTAATTCACCAGCTGTAGTAAGCTAACACATTGGGAACCTCTGGAGGTAGCTTCTTACAGAGTTGAATGTTCATCTCCACTTTTTTTTAAACTTTAATTTTTATTTTATTTTATTTTCTCATGTAAACAAAAATTATAAACAAAGTTTTTTAAAAATTTGAGTTCCAAAATCTCTTCCTCCCTCACTCCCTTCTCCCATCCTTGAGAAGGCAAGCAATTTGATAATAGATTATATATGTGCATTCATGCAAAACATTTCCATATTGGCTGTGTTACAAAAGAAATGCAGACAAAAAACCAAGAATAATAAAGTACAAAAAATATGCTTCAATCTGCATTTAGACTTCATTACTTCTTTCTCTGGAGATGGATAGCATTTTTCATCATAAATCCTTTGGAATTGTCTTGAATCATTGTATTGCTGAGAATAGCTAAGTCATTCACAGTTTGTCATCATACAGTATTGCTGTTACTGTGTGCAATGTTCTCCTGGTTCTGCTCATTTCACTTCGAATCAGTTGATGCAAGTCTTCCCATCACTTCCACTCTTTTGGAGAGCCTCAGTGTTTATTAACACTGAGATTTAAAAGTAGAAGGGGCATCAGAGACAATCTAGCCCAACCCTTTTTTATTTTACAGAGGAGAAATCTGAGGCCCAGAAAGGTTAAGTGGTTTGCCCAGGGTTACATAGTAAACAAGAGGGAGCACGGTGGTGCAGTGGATAGAGCACTGGGCCTGGAGTCAGGAAGATCCAAGTTCAAATCTGGCCTCAGACACTTACCAACTGTGTGACTCTGGTAACCCCTATTTGCCTCAGTTCTTCATTATAAAATGGGGACACACTAGAGAAGGAAATGGCAAACCACTCCACTATCTTCACCAAGAAAACTCCACGGACAAGTCCATGGGGTCACAGAGTCAGACATGACTGAACAAACAAGGTAAATAGCAGAACCAGCCTTCAAACTTTTGTCCTGACCCCAAATCTTTCCAGTAGATCACAGAGCTGGTAAATCTTTTTTGTTTCTTTCTGCATTTTAGATCAAACAAAAGTCATTGGGAGCCAAGTAACATGAATTAGATGGGTGGTCAAGCTTGATTAATACTATTACTGGTCACTGAAGCAGACACTGGTCTTGTGTATCTGTGTTGGGGGGATGGGGAGAATTACATCATAGCCACCCTACTACTTGTTCTTTGGTTTATATTGGGATTAGACCTTAAACTGTGTCCATCCCTGATACCTTAGGGGACCCCTACATGAAAACTCTAAAATACCTTTTTCCTGTTTTGATTTTCTCTCTCTTTCCTTATTGCTTCTCTTATTTAAGGTACACAGATTCAGGGGGATCCAGAAGTCCTATATTTTATTCTGAAAGAAAATAATTTTCAATTTGGTACTCTCTGCTCTGTAGCCTGAAAAGGGTAAATTTGCAAGATGTTACAATCATTATAGTTTTTATATGGGTGACTGCATGAGAAAGTATGAAAATATAACAAATTATATTTTTATGTATAATAGATTTTTAAAAAAATCTATCATTGCACCTCACCTAATATCGTTTCTGAAAAAAAAACTTACCAGACAAAACAACAGTGTAGAGGCAGCCATCATTCATTCCATAACAATGGTGACTGAAATGGCTGATGAAATTCTTGGATGCCAAATTTTCTACTAGAAAAAGCCCAGAGACTCTTTTTCTCTATATCATCTTTGTTGTTTTTGAGTCATTTTAATCATGTCTGACTCTTCATGACCCCATTTGGGAATTTCTTGGTAAGTGGTTTGCCATATCCTTCTCCAGCTCATTTTACAGTTGAAGAAACTGAGATAAACAGAAGTTGTGACTTACTCAGGGATACAAAGCTAGTAAGTGCCTAAAAATGGATTTGAACTCAGGTTTTCCTGACTGCAGGTCCAGTGCTCTATCCACTGTATCACCTAGCTGCCTCTCATAGGAATTTAATGCTAAAAAGGACCAAAGAGATAGTCCAACCCCCCCATTTTACAGATGAGGAAACTGGGGCCCTGAAAAGTAAAATAACTTGTCTCAGATCAAATAGTAATTAAGGGTCAGAGCTGAGATTTTAGCCCAAATGTTGACTTTAAATCCCCTTTTCTTTTCACTAACCCACACTTTCTTTATGATTCATGAAGGTATTATTATCACTTCAGGTTTTTTTCCCTTCTGGTTTTAAAAGGCTTATGTTAGAATATAATTTAAATCAAAGTAGGTTACATGGGGTACAGTCCAGAACGTGGGAGGAATAGGGCAGAGACCTCATTGACATTCCCCCACTCTTTCTTTCCTCTCCTCAAGTCTCTGATAGTGAAGTGACTCTTCTTGCCTCCACCCTCCCTTTATGTCATCCTCATCCATCTTGTCCAGCAGGTGGCCCCTTAATCATCCTTTTTCTGGAGTCAATTTTTTCCTATCTATTGGTTCGTTCCCTGCTTCCTAGGATACCCCAAATCTCCCCTATCTTTACAAAAAAAAAACCAAAACCCTCACTGGATCCTACCATTTCTGCACTTTCCCTCTCCTCTCTTTTCAGCTAACCTCCTAAAAAAAGCTGTTGATACAATGCCTCTACTTTCCTGTCACCCTCATCACTAACTGTTCTCTCTGCAGTTGGCAATGATCTCCCAATTGCCAAATTTGATGATTTTTTTCTTAGACCCCCAACTCCTCCCCTTTCTGCTGCATGCCACTGTTAACCATCATCATCTCCAGCATACCCTCATCTGGGTTTTCATGACACTCTCTACTGCTTCTCCTACCCTACTTCTCTTTGGTCTCCTTTGCCACATCATTGTCCCTATCAAGCCCCTGTGTCTGTGCTTCAAGGCTCTTTCCTGAGCTTTAGTCTTATACCACGAAATGCCTCATATTCCTTTCAAGCTTTTCCAAAGACAAGCTCAAGCTCAGCATGTCCAAAGCAGAATTTACTTTCTTGCAAAACTCCCCTCTTCCAGTCTTACCATACTTGATTCATTGTTCCATGTATTTGACAGATTTTGCCCTTTCTTACCTCTACTACTGCTCCTACTGTACCCCTTTTCTCCACTCACAACTACAGCTGTAGTTCAGGCCCTCCTCTCCTCTTGTACTGACTATTGCAATGCTTTCCCAATTATTTCCTGCTTCAGGTCTTTCCCTGTTCAAGTACATTCCCCACTCAGCTGCCAGTGAATTTGCCTAAGCACTGATCTGATCACGTTACTCCCCAAATCATTAAATTCCAATGGATGTTACCTCTAGGATAAAATTAACTCTTCTGTTTAGTTTTTAAAGCTCATCACAACCCAGCCCTCTTTCTAGCCTTATTACACATTACCCCGTCTAGCACTTAAGTGCCAAACACTGGTGATAAAAATGGGCCAGTCCCTTCCATCAATGAGAAATTCTAACAGGGAGGACAACACCTAGAGGAGAGTGGGTGGCAGCCCAGGACAGTAGTTCTGGTATGGGAAGTCAGAGGTGGAAAGGGCAGTTAATTAACAGGCCCCTCCCAGAGGCAGTGCGAGTGTGAGTTTGAGTCAGGTCTCAGATCTGGAGATGGAAGGGGTGGAGGTGGGGAGGTGAGGCTGCCCAATCCCAGGGAATATGGGCAGGGCGGCTTGGGTTCTCTGGGGCACAGACCCTAGTGTTCCAGTTTTGAGGAAGAAACATCTGGAATGCCAGGGTAGAAAATGGCCAGGATGAAGAATCCTTTAGTCCAGCCCCACTGGCATACCATTTGCCCAGAGTGTTCCCAGAATCAGGTCTGTCTATACTTCCTTGCCTGGCCATAATTTTGATCTCTGAAACTTTTTTTTCTTCTTCTTAAGGACCATGCCTTAAACCCAGATCACTCTGGTTCTCATAGATTGGCCAACAATAGGTCCCAGGCCAAGCCCCACTTGGTCATTGTCTGAGCCCTGATTGACTAAGAGTGAATGTGATTTTGGCCAGAAACCCTGGGGATCTTCCTGTCCCTGATTTTTTTTTTTTTTTCTAGGTTTAGAGGGCATTCTTGGCTTCATTTCTTACCTATCCTTAATCACTGAATGGGTATTGCCTAATCAAACTGAGACCTGTTAAAGACCATAGCTTAAAGGCCAGGGTCTCCCACTGCACCCAGGGCCATCTCCAGTTGTCCATTTGACAAGATCTATACCTTGTCACTGGACCCAGATGGCTCCCGGAGAGTGAGGCTGGTAACTTTGCACAGCCCTGCCTCACTTAAATCCAATTCACTTGCACGTCACGGCATCACCTCCCTGATGTCATGGTCCTCTTCAAGAACGAAGGACAAACATCACTACCACCATGACGGAATTCCTCTCCTATTTCAGACTGACCCCTCACCCCCCAACTTCCTCCCTCCTTCATTACCTTGTATTTTTATGTACTTGTTGCCTACCCCAGTAGAATCTCTAGCTGATGGCAGGGATTGTTTAAATTTTGTTATTTGAATCCCCAGGTCCTATCAAAGTACCGGAAACATATAAGGCCCTTAATAAATGTTTGACTGCTGAAGGTGAAACTGATTGAAGTGTCCTTGGGTTCTGCTGAAAATGAGAGGGAATAAAACCTGCCTAATTTTTGTGTTCTAAGAATCCAAGTTAACTCCAAGGCTTCCACCTCTGGGGGAACAAAAGCTAAAAGCTTACTTCCTCGATTTATGTAGACCTTCTCTTCGTTACTCCATTGTGATGTTTTATTTCATCTATATGTATCTAAACAAAGTTAGCAATATATCAGCTATGTCATATTTTAATAAATTTCATCACAAAGAAAAAGATATAACCATTCTGCATTGTTCTATACCCTTTTTATATAAATCAAGGGCAGAGATCCAGTTCTGCCAGAGGCTAAATTTCTTCTTTGGAAATTTACCCCACAATGGTTCTTTTCCAAAAGTGATAAACTTGAGAGAACTGAAGAACCAGGGGTGCAACCCTAAGGCTCCAAAGGACCACCAATTTCTCTCTAAAAGGAGAAAGCTGCCAGATGAAGAACCAGCAGAAATTAGACTTAAATGTTTTTTTTAACATTGGCCTGTCAAATTTTAAATGGTTAACTGTTTTTTAATAGTCACTGCTGGCATCATAAACTGTTTTTAACCCTTAGTAAATGTTCCTGTATGCCTCAGTGTCAGCAATTAAGTCCTGAATCCAGTATACTGTATCCTGCCATCAAATTAAAGTCCCTTGACAAGCATTTTTACTACCCTGAACCTTCAAGATCCCATTTTATGTTTAAGTTTGATGTCTGATTGTGTGGTTTTTTCTAAGGCCTGGCTAAAGCAGAGAAGGTAAAGGGACTAGTCCTTTCTAGGACCTACAAAGCAACGGCAATTCAATGAAGCCTTTCATCCAATCAACCAATATGTAGACTTTTTTTGGAAATTTTTTTTTATTAAGTTTTTTTTTAATTTAAAAAATCATTCACAAAATACCATATCCATATATTTATGTCATGAAGCAGAATGGCTTAAGTGTTTGGAATTCCATTCTCACATTTAAAATGCAACTGGATTAACCAGAAGTTGGGATTTTTGTTGCTGTTGTGTTAATATTTTCCACATTGAAGATATAAGTAGGTCATTTGAAAGCATCTGTTTTGATTACAATCACATAATAATGCATGTCTTTCTTAGATTACATGTGGGTGTTACACAAATGGTTTCTTATCTTAGGAGCAGAGAGTATGATAGGTGGAAGAAAAGAAGGAGGAAAGGAAGAAGGAAGCAGGAAAGAGGAGGAAGGGGTCCTGTAAACTGCTTTAACTCTGAACAAAAATAATAGTAACTGAAGCCAGGAGCTAAGAGTCAGTAACAACGCTGCCATCCAAGTGGACTGACTTAAGTGGCCAGTTTCCAAGAAACCCTGCAACTATGCTGGCTTCCTTCTAGCTCCAGGTATCCTCAACCTTAAAGCTTTGTTTTTTATTTTCCTGAATACTTTCCAAGTGGAAAGTAAACTCTTCCCTGATGAGCCTTCAGGTTCTAAGAGACATTGGTCTTCATTTTATAGCTACCTACGAGATGTTTCTAGGTCCTTGACGAATCTGAATAAGACACAACATTGCCAGATCCTAGTGTCAGCTCTCATGACCCATTTTAAAAATGATGATAGAAAGCACGGTATCTCACTACTGACTATTTACACTTCAGGACAAAGAAATACTACGGCTAGATGCATATGTAGCCAAGGGCAGTAAGTTTTACACTCCTTCCAACACAACACAAAGTCAACTTTATTTGAATAAACCTGAATTTAAAAGTTACTCACCAAACATGTAAAACCAAAAAAGTGGGTAATTTTTAAAAAAGCAAAGACTCAATGAGCATTTCTTTATGTTCAAACAGGCACAGATCTGCACTGCTGTGCAAGCCCCCAAAGCACCTTACCCCAGTGGAGATAAAACCAGACGGCAGTTTGTAATAGTTAAAACAAACACAACCTTCTAATCTGCTTAATAAAAGGAGTTCCCTAGTATGGATTTTGGTTTGGGCAGAGTTATGATTGACAGACCTGTGGGAATGAAGCCAATTAATTCTCTAAAGTAATACCCATTCTCCACATTTTATATAGATACATATATTTTTAAATTTGATCCTATTTTACTTGTATCTGTTTATGGAAAGGAATTGGGGGGGGAGGGTCAGAGGTAAAGAAAACTACCTGTGAACTGGTTAGAAGGACTATGCCAGTGTTTGATCCCTAGCCTTAGAAAAGGTGTCTAATTCTATGTGTAGGTCAACAGATGGGCCAACCTGTTGGGGAGTTCTTTCCTATTTGCTTCTTGGAGCCACAGCAACCCAGAACCAAACATGCAGGTCAGAAAAGGTGAGGAAAAGCCAAAGGAAACAATATTGGAGTTTTAACAAAGTCTAATCTGGGTTTCTAAAGTGAAACAGAGAAAGCTGAGGAGGGAAATGGAACACCACCTCATCTTCAGGAACTCCCACCCTCAATGATGACAGCAGTGTTTGTTCATCTGCAAGAAACCATGTGCTACAAAAATTATGTGAAAATGAAAACAAAGAAGAAAACAGGGAAAGAAGGAGGGGAGCGGAGGGAATGGGCCAAGGCAGTGTGGAAAAAACCAGCACAAAACTGGCACTAGATACAACAAAGCCAAGAACATACTAAAAACCACTTAACAGCTGACGTGCATTCACAAGCTCTGTGTTTTCAGTTTCAAGAGAGGGCAAATGTCAGGTGGCAGGAATGGTAACTGCAGGGTTGGCGTCCTGAGTAACGAAATGTGCTGCTGTCTCGCTCAATAATTCTCCCCCCATTCCTTCCCAACCTCAAGCTTGGTCTTGCTCTGTTAACCATTTCCTCTTGGGGCCTGGCTCTGACAAAGATAGCTGAGTTGGGACTGGCTACTTAACTGAGGGGGGTATACCCTCAGATAATGTCTTTCTTAGTAATAAAAAAAGAAATTCAAAAACAAATGTTTTTATTGTACATTATCCTGAGAAACTGGGGAGAAGGGAAGGTTTCATCTGAAGATGAAAAAGTTCTTATAAAACTATCAGTGTTACCACTAGCTCATATCATATTCCACCATAAAGAATGAAGCAGAGAAGCATCGTCAACTTTCTGACAACCTGGAAAATATCTGCTTTCTTTGCTCTGTGGTCATGTGTTCACAAGCTTCCAAAACATTTGCCAGAATTAAAGTCTGTTGAATGGTTCTTGCTTTAACCCATATTCTTCCATTCATTCCAAATACTATTTCCAGTGGGTAGAGTTTTCCTATCTCCTGGATAATTTCACATTCAGGAGCTAAAAGCCTAGTGTGGGGTTAGAAAATAAATGAAGTTAAAAAAAGGAACACCTCAAATTTCTCTCTCTAATACCAGTTATAAACTATGACAAATTACTTGTATTGTGTTTTTCTCCCCCTAACCAATCCTCACCCCTCCCTTCCACTTCTGAACCATGTGAGAGGTTTTTGATAAATAGAGAATCAACCCCCACATTTTGCCGATTTTGCACCAAAAACATAGTTAAGACCTAATCTGTAAAATAAGAAGGTTGGATTAGATGATCTTTAAAGTTCCTTTTAGTGCTAAATCTAGGACTCCTTTCTTCTTTAACTCCCAGAATGCTTTTAATGCAAAAATACTTTAGAAAACTCACTTTTCAATATAAAGTTAATTGAGGAAACAAGTATTTACTGAATACCTACAAACACAACAATGCACTCATGATTTTCCGAACAATTGGATTTAGCTGATCAAGATACTATCCCCCCGCCAGATGCCATAAGAACAATAATTTCTACAACACTTTTAAGGTCTATAAAGTGTTTTCTCCATAACCCTTGGAGGGAGGTCACCCAATGATTATGCCTGATGATGAAGAGAGCGAGGCTCAGAGAATGAAGAGATTTGCTCACACCAGCCAGCATCAGAGCTAGGACTGAAACCCAGGGTTCCTTGTTAAGTTCCATCCCAGGACACCCCACCCCTTCTAGATGAAGTGTTTAGGAAGAATTAGTTCTTTCAAACCATTATGATACCACTTATTTCTTCATAACACCACAGTTGTGACATGATGGTATTTAGAAAATTATAAAGCACTATAATATATGAATTTTAAGTGTTATTATAAGGGAAGAAGAAGCTATGGTGCTGCTAGGAAATGCAGAGATTCAACACTGTAGCAAACCCTCAAACTCTGTAAATGCCAGACCCCTAAATTTCGTCTTTAAATTATGTACTGAAATTTCTTTTACCTTGCAGGAAAAATTCCAGACTACCAATGCAAAACAAAAAATCAAAAAATTTCCCTGTAAAGCATACTGAAGGCAGAAAGGCTAGGCCACAGTACTTACTTTCTGATTAAACCCAGAGTCACCTTAAACAACAGGCCATCCTGTCCAATGACACCCATTCCATTTGCTCTTCCATTGCTATCAATACAGACCATCTCTGGTTCCATGTCTTTATTGGCAACAACAAACTGGCCATAAATGAGATCTCCCACCTAAAACAGTAAGTGTTACATGTGATGAGATATAAGGCAGCAAATATTCCATCCCAAAAACCTATTTTCTGGTTGCTATTCCCTATCAATCACAAACAGCTAATGATAAATTCAACAAGCACTTATTAAGCACTAATATTAAGATAAAACTATAGTTGATGACTTGTAGCTAATGACCTACGAAGGCCTTCTGACAAAGTGCTGGTGATTGATGGAACATTTCCCTTAGCCAACCATTAGATTTCCCCACTTCTGGAATTGTACCACCTCATTCTATTTTTGGTACTCCCTCCATGGCTACAAAAGCAATTCTTCCTCAAGCAGAAGGGTCCCTGACCATGAGGAAGGTCTTGGACCCAAATGATAAGAAACTGAACATGCTCAGACATCTAAGTGATTTTTGTTACAGCCTGGAGTTTTGTGGTCCTCACAAAACTGTGAGGCCCTTTAAATACCAAACAGGAGTTCGTATTTTATCCTACAGGCATCAAAAAAGCCATGGCAATTTCTTGGGTAGGGGAACTTATGTGATCAAAATTGGGCTTTAGGAAGATCAACCAACCGGGGTAACCTCAGGGTCTGGGTAATCTGACACTCAGTGAGGTGTTCCAGTATATATTTCTGGACCTCTGGACTACTTTGAAAGATAACAAATCATTCTTCCAAAGGAGTTCCTCAAACTAGGAGGGCAGCATGAATCCAGAAAATGCCTCCAGGTTCATACTTCCAAACTAAACCAATAGGCATTTATTAAATACTAAGCCTGTAAAATAGGGATAGGGAGTGGACCTGTAATGTCAGTCATAACCGAAATTACTGGATAAGGGAATTCCCTCTAGCAACGCAGTGTAGCCCTTTCTTTGCAACCTTACAGAGTTGCCTACAACACTGAAAGGTTAAGTGATTTGACCCAGAACATACTCCTGGTGTGTCAGAGGTATGATTTGAACCTAGATTTTCCTGGCTCCAAGGCCTGCTCTGTATTTCCCTCTCACAGATACTGGGATACAAAGGCAAAATAAAAACAATCCCTTCCTTCAAACTTACATTCAACTGGATATAAAATGTTCAAGAGAATTTCTGAGTTACCTCTCATCCTTGCACTTCTGGCAGATTTTGCAGTTTAGGCTGAGGAAGACCCCTACTACATGTAAATTTCAGGGCAGCAAATCTGCCCAGAGCAAAATAATTTTTGCAGCAGGGTTTCAATTCTCCACTCTAACCCCAAAGTGGGCAACTTAATGAAAATTCCTTACCAAACAACAAATGCATACTTATTGTTTTCATAATCACAGCATGGAAGGAACGAACTTGGCCTATGCTACTTGAAGAGTCAGATTTTGAGGGAATGTCAGGCAGTAAGTTAGTATGCTCATTTAGGGAGAGATTTCTGGTAGCCACTACTACTCAACACTTAACTTATCAACACTGCCCTGACTGGCAGAGAAGCTGAAACAAATGAGGAAAAAGAAGCGCATCAGAATGAAGCTAATTAAATAAGTCTTAAATAGCTCTAAATACACTATCTAGATATCTGGATAAAATCATGGTGCAGGAGTGACACTGACTTCAGAACAGTTCTTTCAGATACATGGAGAAGGGGACAAGATTAGGGAACCAGCATTTATTATACACCTACTACATACCAGGCAAGGTGCTTAATGTTTGTCCTTCCTTCTCAGAGAGGACCACGATATCAGAGAGATGATGTCATGACTTGCAAGTGAATTAGATTTAAGTGAGGGAGGACTGTAAAAAGTCATTAGCCTCACTTTCTCCTCCTGAGCCATCTGAGCTCAGTGGCAAGATACAGATCAGGACAACCGGTGATGGCCCTGGATTGCAGTGGGAGACCTTGGCTTTTTTAAGTTAAGGTCTTTTAACTGGTCTCAGTTTGACAGAGGCAACACCCATATGGTGATTGAGGCTAGGTAAGAAATGAGACAAAGAATGGCCTCTTTTACCTAGTCAGAAAACAAAAACAAAAACCCAACAATCTGGGAGGGAAAGACCCTCAAGGTTTCTGGTCAAAACCAAAACAATTGCTATTTACATTTACTCTGAGCCAATCAGAGGCCAAAGAATAACCACTAAGTTGGGCTTGGGCTGGTACTCTTGCTGGCCAATCAATGAGATCCAGAGTGAATTGGATTTAACTCATTGTTTTTAAGAAAGAAAGGGAGGCAGTAAACCTCTAAGATAACTTTCAAGGTTGCAGGGATCAAAAATTTATTCCTTTGGGCAGAGCACCTGCAGGTAATGGTATGATACCCTATGTGAACAGAGGGAGAGGAAGGAAGGAAGGGGAAGGGAGGAGCTAAATTGCCCAACTGGAAGTGGCTTGTTGGGTCCCCAGTGGGGCAGTACTATTCTGACAATGTACTTCAGATAATCTAATTTCATCTCACGCCCTGAAGTCACTAAAAATAACAGACCCATTGTTACCTGCACATTTGGTCTATTTCTTTTGGTTGCTCCTTCAAATGCCAAGTAAGACAGAGAAGCTGGTTCACTTCCTCCAACATCAACCTTGAACAAGTCACCAGATTTAGCAGTCACAATGCCTATCACATGGTCTCCTTTAACAGGGACATACTGCAAAGAGAAAAGTCACAAAGGCACAAGCATATAAACATCTGAAATTGAAAAAGATTTTCACCAGCAAACCCTGCTAATAGATTTTTACACTTATGCTTTTAAAAGGCTATATAATATTTTAACATTTAAGTAGCAATATTATTTTATAAATACCACATTGGTCTAAATATAGGCAACGCTCAAGTATAGGCTACATTCCTAAATGAGACCTCTTTAAAGGGAAAAATATATCTATATGCTGAAAAATGTAAGTTGTTTGAGAGCAGCAACTGTCTTGGGGGTTTTTTCGCCCTTGAATCTACAGGCACTTATGAGAGGTCATGGACAACAACTGTATCAAATAGGCAGGCAGGAACAGATTGTTGTCTTTGAAGAGAACATCTGTACCAATTAGATCACATAAGTTCAGGTGAACATACACAGCACTGAGTCCAGTGCCTTGCACACAGCAAACAAGCTACTATTTCTTGACATATAAATTCCAAATATAGAGAAAAGGTACAAACCAATATAAAATAATCCCAGTGATGAATTCTTAATAACTAAATTCAGCTTCAAACTATCATAGACTGAGATATTTATTCACTAATTTTATCCAGATATTATATCTATCCACTGAGTTATATATTTCTCCATATAAATATCATTATGTTTATTTCTCTGGCATTTTAGAAAAATACTTTCAGAGTAGAAATCTGGGCTACTTGGCTAATAAGCTGTCCATATACCACTCCACTCAATTAACACAGTGCATAGTAAGCACTTAACAAGTGTTTTATTTATTCATTCAATTCACTAAACATTGATCTACCACATAGGCACTGAAGGAGATACAAAGATAAGAGTCATCTCCATCCTCATGGAGTTTACAATTATAATATAACTAATATGACAGTGTACCTCTCTCCTTGCCTATTGTAAACTCCTAATTGGTCACCTTGCTCCTAGTATCTCCCATCAACAATCCATCCTTAATGTTCTCTTCCTCCTCAAACATTCTTTAAATGTTTACCTCTGTCTCTCCTTTACTCCCATCATTCCATAATTTTCATTCAATCTATTACTATGCTTCATCTATGAACATGTTATTTGTTCTCTCTCACTGTGAGGCCAAGAACTTTTTGATTTTTATCTTTGTATTCTTGGAACCTAGCATAATGGCTTATATGTAGTAGGCACTTAAATATTTGAATTGAATCGTGGTATGTGCTTAAGTTATAAGCAAAATGTTAGGTCATGGAGAGAGGAGACAATAATCAATGGGGAGGTGGAGGTGTTGCAGAAAATCCATTACTAAATATCTGTGACATACACTATGCTAGGCATTAGAGAGACAAAGATAAAAATTAAATAGTCCCTGTCTTCAAGGAATACATAAGGGATCACGACAGACTTTATACAGGAAGTAGCAGTAAACTTAAACTTTAAGGGGTGGAGAGCTGATGGGTAAAGGTTACACCTCAGGCCCTAGCAAAGGTGGGGCAGTAGAGAACATGTTGTTGTTTGTCCTTTAAGAGGACCAAGACATCAGGAAGGTGATGCCATGACTTGCAAGAGAATTGTATTTAAGTGAGGGAAGGACATCCAAAGTCACCAGCCTCACTCTCTCCTCCAGAGCAGTGGCAAAATATAGATCAGGACAACTGGACGTGGCCCCACAGAGAACATGTATGGGCAGTATTAAGTAGCACAGTTTCACTGAACCTGAATAGTAAGGTGGGGTCAAACTTTAGCAGGAACTCTTAATGGCTGGTCTAGGAAATCTGAATTTTATTCAGTAATCCATAGACACCCAAGGAAGGGGTTTGGGTGAAGTCATATGACTAGGCATGCATAAATACAATTTGGCAGCCAAAAGGGCTGTTTGGAGCAGGAAGGTCTCATGCAAGTGGTACTGAGAACTTTTCTGTGGCAGGGGCTCTCAAGGAACTATCTACTAGAGACAACAGGAGACAACAAAATAAAACTACATGAACAATACTGTTAGCAGTTGGCTGCTAGTTCACTTACTGGATTGTTGTTAGGGTCAAATGATCATATTATAAATAGCTTGAAGAGACCTTGGGGGCTATCTAGTCCAACACCATCACTTTACATTTTTTTTAAACTTTAAATTTGTTTATTTTTAGTTTTCAACATTTACTTCCACAAGATGAGTTCCAAATTTTCACCCCATCTCACCTCTCCCCCCACCCCAAGATGGCATGCATTCTGAATATCCCTTCCCCTAGTCTGCCTTCCCTTCTATCTCTCCCCTCCTTCTCTTATCCCCTTCCCCTTCTATTTTCCTGTACGGCAGGATAGATTTCTGTACCCCATTTCCTGTATTTCTTATTTCCCAGTTGCATGTGAAAACATTTTTTTCTAAACATGTGTTTTTAAAACTTTGGGTTTCAAATTTTCTCCCTTTGCCCCCCCCATTGAAAGGTAAGCCACTCAATAGAGGTTATACATGTGTAGTCAAGCAAAACACTTCCATAGTAGCCATGTTGTGAAAAACTAACTCTATTTCCCTTAATCCTATCCAGCCCCCCCATTTATTCTATTCTTTCTTTTGACCCTGTCCCTCCTCAGAAGTGTTTGCTTCTGATTATTCCCTTTCCCAATCTGCCCTCCTCTATATCTTTCCCCTGCTCTCTTGTCCCCTTCTCCCTCTATTTTCCTGTAGGGTAAGACATATTTCCACACCCAATTGAGTGTGTATGTTATTCCCTCCTTAAGCCAAATCCTAGGAGAATAAGATTCACTCATTCCCTCTCGCCTTCCCGTGTCCCCCCCACTGTACGAGCCTTTTCTTTTTTTTCTGAGATAAATTACCCTGTTATACCTCTCCTTTTCTCCTTCTCCTAGTATAATCCTCTTTCACCCCTTAATTTTATTTTCCAGATATGACACCTTCACCTTCAACTCACCCTGTGCCATCTATCTATCTATCATCACTTTACATTTTAAGAGAAAACTGGGAATAGATGATTTGATTGAGGTCACACAGGTAATAAGCATCAGACATGGAGTGCTGAGATCCTCTTAAACCTTTTCTAATTTAAAGGATTTCTAAAATGTGAGCTATTACTAAATGCCAAAATCTAGAGCCTTTAAGTGATGAAGGAATTGTAAGGAAGAGCAGCAAAGTGCAAAGAAAGATCTCATCTGGAGTCTGAATCCAGGGCCTGATATTTATTACCTGGGTGACTCTGGCTAAGTCGATTCACATCTCTGGGCCCCAGGTACCTCTTCTGTAAAAAGAAGGGGATGAACTAGATGATGCCTCCATCTCCAAATATGACCCTGAAGTGAGTAGAGGGGTACAGTAAGTTCCAACTAAAATCCCACTTTCTACAGGAAGTTTGCCAGTGCCTTCCCTATGTTAATTATTTCCTGTTTATCCTGTCTATAACTGGCTTTGTATATATTTGTTTGCATGCAGTCTCAATGAATAGATTGTAAACTCCCTGAAGGCAGGGGCTGTGTTTTGTCCCTTTCAGTATCCCCGGTGCTTAGCGCAAAGTCAGGCATATCTAATAAATACTGATTGATTGATTGACTCAGAGAGGTGCTCAGGAGGGTGGTGATCACCCCGCTGGTCTCGATGTAAAGGGCAGGGGCAGGAAGTGCAGGTGTAGACGAGAGGCAAGGAGGGGGAGCAAGACGTCTGAGCAGGAGCTCAGGGAGGAAAGGGAAATGGGGAGACTGAGGCCGGGCGCCCCAAGATTCAAGTCAGGAGATGCCTGGGCTAGGAGAGCCCCCAAGGAATAACTGAGTCCGGCTCTTCCGTTTTACAGGAGGGGAAAAAGAGGCTGGATTCGCCCGAACTGACGCGGGGAGCCAGGAGGCGGGCATCCCGCCCGGGCTGGTCTCCACGTGTTGGAGCCCGGAGGGCCTGGCCGGGCGGGCCGCCTCCTTCACTTACTCTTTTCTGCTGGGAGTCCACCCAGTACACGCCGCCGCCGCCGCCTCCGCCGGGCTCCTTGTGGCGGAGCCGGCCGCATTTGGTGACCAGCAGGCGGTCCCCGCAGCGCCGCAGGCCCGGGCCGCACACCACGCGGGCGCGGGGCCGCACGATTGACCCCAGGCGCAGCATCTGCTCCGCGGAGCCCTCGGCGTTCGGCCCCGCCGACTCGGGCAGCAGCAGCTCCTCCCCGGGCAGCACCACCTGCCCCAGCATGGTCCGCGCCAACCGCGGCCCCGAGCTGGGGGCCGGTGGGGCCGCCATCACCCGGCCACCGCCTCCGGGGCGCCTTCTAGAGCGACCCCTGCGGGCCGGAGGACAGAAGGGAGGAGAGAAGCCTCTAACCGCTCCTTCACCTCTGTCTCTATGGCCGAAGGGAAGGGCAGCCCTGCACCCGCCCCAAGAGGCCCCGCCCCTTCCGCTGAGGCTCCCTACCCCGTGAGTGGAGGAGGAACAACTCTGGACCCGCCCCCGGGACCCGCCCTTCCACTGAGCTGCCATTCCACGTGACTAGAGAACTGTGCCTTCCCACCAGGCCCACTCTTTCACTGTGGCTCCACCCCTCCCAACCGCTCATCACACTCCGGACCACTCCTGGACCCCGGACCACTCCTAGACCCCGGACCACTCCTAGACCCCGCCCCTTTCCACCCGGGCCCCGCCTCTTTGGCCCGCCTCCGCCCACCCAAGCCCAGGACCAGATTGTCCTCTCAGTGCCGGATCCTGGGTTTCACCCCAATTATCCCGTGTACCCCACGTCTCTCCTCTCTAAGTAGGACTTTTCTCAGAGCAACAAAGGCTTCTCTGTATTCATGGGATCATAGGACTTATCTTGAGATCATTTAGTGACTAGATGAAATTATTTCTAGTCCAACTCTCTCATTTTATTTAATTTTGTTTTACATCAAGGTCAATTCCGAATATAATTCTTCTTCTCTACCTTTGCTTCTCTCCAAGTGAGCCTTCCTTTCAACAAAGGGAAAAAATCACCAAGCAAAATAAATGACACATGCAACAGTTCCTTCCTATGGGTTCCCCATCTCTCCCAACTAAAACATTTTAACATTTTAGAGGGAACCTCATGAGGCCCAGAAAGGTAAAGTGACCTGCCCAATGGCACCCCAGTAATAAATAACTCAGATATGATTCATACCCCAGATTTCTGATTCCAAAGCCCAGGTTCTTGCCTCTACACTTCTGTCTCATCAGCAAAGAGCTCTGTCTCCTGAAATGAAAACTCATTAGATTTGACTATGAAATTATTTTTCTGCAAATTGCTCATTTTTATAGTCAGTGTTTTATCCAGTGATAGTATTGTATTCTCAGAAATCCAGAGCCTTTAGAACCCTTTAGAAAAAGTCCCAGCTTTTGAGCCACACACACACACAAGATTCAGCAAAACAGGCACCAAAAAGTGAGACAATTTAATTTTTTTAAATAATTACTACCCTTAAGCAAAACTAGCAAGTGGTTGAGGCCAGATGTGAACTCAGGTCCTGCTAACTCAGCCCAGTGTCCTGCTGGAAAAAAAAAATCACTTATAGACACAAATAAACTATTCAAATTTTATGAAATTAAAAAGCTTTTGCACGAACAAAATAAATATGCCTAAAATTAGGAGAAAAGATGGATTGAGGCAAAATTTTACGTTAGTTTTTTTTGTTTCTTAATCTGAACCTAGAAATTTCTCCTGCTCTGCAAATCATCTGTAACTTGTTTTAAGAGCTGCTTGGGGTACTGAGATTAAGTGACTTGTCCATGATTACACTTGCTGGCTTAGAACTTCATAGAATCATAGATCTAGTGGGGAATTAACCTTTTGTATGACCATGGACAATCTTTCTCAAAATTCCTCTTCTATAAAATGGGGATAATACCACTTACTTCAAAGAAAGCGTTTTGCGAACTTTAAAGCACTATATAAATACTAATATTTAACCATTCCTGGCTCTAAGTCCAGCTTAGACTGGACTATATTCCACTGTAATAGTATTGTCTTTTTTGGCTTTAAGGTCAGCTTTCCATTTATAACATTCCACTGCTTCTCCTGTCTGAAATATCTCTGAGTCTGACTTCCAAAATTTCTAGAGAATTGACAAACATCTGCAAGACAAAACCATTCCCGAAAAAATAAGTAGCCAAAGGAAATGAACAGTTTTCAAAAATCATGTTATGTTTCTTCTGCATCCCCACAGGGTGATAACAAATTACTTGATGGATGGGATATTTCCTACTGAGAATACAAAATCCAATCGATCCAATATTACTAGGCAGCAAAGAAGCAGGCTGATCATTTCTGTATTACTGATGTGAAAACTGAAGCCAGAAACAGGGAAATGATGGGTCCCTGGCAGTTGCATTGTCAGGGTCAAAATCCTAAGATCTTGAAATTGGTGAGCTGGTTTTGAAAGCTATCTCTTCCTTTCCCTTAGTCTGGGTTTAGAATTCCTAAAACTCCAGGCTGAGAAAGGAACAGAAAAGGAAGGAAGGAAAGAAAAAGCTGGGAAAGTGGAAACCTGGAAAGGAGTGGGGAGAGACTGCAGGGAAGAGGAGATATAAACAAGGAGAAGAAAAGAGAAAGGAAGGAAAGAGAAAGAGGCAGAAGAAGGCTGGAAGGGAGATGGGGAGGGAAGAATAGGAAAGAAGACATGAAGTAGGAGCGGGGAGAGACTGCAGGGAAGAGAGAGGAAGGGGCGGGCAAGAAGTGGGCGGAATAGCGCCGTCCCTCCCTCGATGGGGCAGACCCTTCCCGGGAGGGTAGAAAAAGGAAGGGGTAGGGACGAGTCCTGCAGGCGCAAGCTCAGTTTTACTCTCCCAGTCTCCAGAAGTCTAGTCGAGAAAGGCGAGGAAGCCGCGGGCAGGAGCCGAGCCGAGCCGAGCCGAGCCGAGCCGAGCTGGGACTGGACGCTCTGCGATGGGACTGCTCCTTCGCCTTCTGCGCCCGGGGCTGGGTTCGGTGAGTTGCTGGGCCCGGGTCCGGGGGAGGCCGGAGGGAGGCTGGACTCAGCGCCGCGCGGGGGTGGGGACGGGGAACGCTTAGCCTGCGAGGCGTGGGAGAGGCTGGAGGAGCCGGAGTGGGGGCGCCTTGTGACACGGCCACGGCCACGGCCACCTCCCTGGGAACCGTGGTGGTGCCCGCGAGCTGAACGCACCGCGTTCCTGGTGCCGTCCATCCAGCGCCCCAACCTTCACACAGACACAGACACACACACACACACACACACACACACACACACACACACACACACTCGCGTGCATACACACGCGCGTGCACACGCCCTTGAATTCCAGCGAATTCCTCATAGAGCGCTGTCACTGGCTGGAAAATTGCCTAAGTGAAACTTTCAGGGTGTTGACTCCTTAATTTGCCGGAGCTTCTGGGGGGATCCCCCTGCGGGGTCCAGTTTCTCCAGCGCTGGGAGGCAGCGGGTTCTTGGTTTGAATCTTGGTGCTGGTACTTACCTGTGTGATCTAGGGGCAAGTCAATTTTCCCCTCCCTGGACTCAGTTTCTTCATCTGTAATATGAAGGGGATTGGAGGAGGTGACCTCTAAGGACCTTTCCACCTTTTAAGTGGTGATACTGTAAAATTAACTTGGTAAAATGAGGAGATAACTACTCCTTTTAACAAGGAGTTTTTTCCCCAATCCTTAAAGCCTTTTATAAATGTGAGGGATTGTGCTATAGAGGACACTGAGTCTCAGAGAAGTGACTTGCCCACAGAGATTGTAAGGGTTAAAATTCACTTAACTGGTATTATTACACACGAACACACACATACATATCGTGCCTGCTATGCTCCAGGAGCTTTATAAATATCTAGTTTGATTCTCGCAACAACCCTTTGAGCTAGTTGCTGTTCTGCCCACTTTCTGTAAAATGAGTATAGCAGCAACTACCTCAACTGATGGTTCAGTGACTTGCCCAAGGTTACCCACCTAGTGAAGTGTCTGAGGCCAGATTTGAACTCATGTCTATCCTTATTCCAGACCCAGCACTCCATCCGCTGTACCACCTGGCTGCTTCCAAATTCAGTCACATCACATCCAACAGTTCTTTTCAGCTTCTGGGAATGTAGTTCTTCTGGGCTGTGTAATATGACATACATAGTTGTTTGGTTTTTTTTGGGGGGGTGGAGGGTGGCTCAGACCTGTGTTTTCCTCAGGGTGAGGAGCTCCTCCTGGTGAGGAACCTCCTTTGCCAGTGCAGTTGGACCGCCTTTTATTGTCTATATTCATAGAGAGGCAGCGTGATTTAGTGAGCTGACCAAGGAGTCAGGAAGACCTAGGTTCAAGCCCCACCAGTGATGCATTCTGATTGAGACCTTGGGGAAGTAATTTTCTAAGATTATAAATTGCAAAGCGAGTGTCAGTCCGCATTGTTAGTGGATGTTTCCTCACTGGCATTTCCCTATACCAATTGTTAGGGTTCCCATAGCAAGTCCAGGATGAAAAAAAACACCACCAAACCTAGTCCTAGTTTAATATTAAAACGCAAGTAGAGCATGATGTTTGGGTTTTTTCAGTTCTGTCTGACTCTTTATGACCCCAGCTCAGGTCTTCCACACTTCCTGCCCAGTACTTTATCCACTTCACCACCTCCCTGCCATTAATATAATTACCTCAAACTTAATCCTGTTCTGCTTAATTCACTCATACAATCACTTAATTCAAAATACAATCACAATGAAAGGAGTAAATGCTGATTAAATTAAGTAGGGTTATCAAACACAAGTGAACTTGACTTTGATATCTAGGAAAATTCTAGACTGGATTATTAAAGAGATAGTTGTTGGACATCCAGAAAGGGAAGCAGTGTGACCGTGGACTATACCCTCTTTTCCTGGAAGCTTTAGCCCTTCTTAAAGCAGTCTAAGATCACATTACCTTTGTTGGATGCCACTTATTGTCCACTAGCACCCCCAGATCTCTTTCAGACAATGTGCCATCCAACCATGCCTTTCCCACTTTCTACTTGTGAACTTGAATTTTTATACCCAAGGGTAAGACTTTATATTTATTCCTATTGGATTTCAGTTTATTAGATTAAGTCCAGTTCTCTTTCCATCAAGATCTTTTGGGAGCCTGACTCATTTTGTTTGTGTTGGCTGTTCCTTCTAGCTTTGTTTCATCTGCAAATTTGAGAAAGGTATTTGTCTTTATCCAAGTCGCCAGTAAATATGTTCAACAGCACAAGGCCAAGCACAGATTCCTCTCTAGTTGTCCAACTTTTTAATAATTTTCCCAAGAAACAAAGTTAAGTTCACTGGCTTATGGTTTACAGATTTTAGTCTTTTCATTTTTTTTTAAATGTAGACATTTCCCCTCTAGTATTGTGTTAACTCCTTTTCTCCCCCCACAATCTTTCAAGTATTATTAACTTACCAATCTATCTGCCAGTTCTTTTAGTGCACAAAGATATAGTTCATCTGGGCCAAGTGATAAAATTTAAGAGCAACTAGGTGCTATCTTACTATCTTATTGTATCCTGGGTTTGAAATCTCTTTTAATCATTTTTGTTCTGACATTTTCAGTGCAAAGGTCCATTCTCCTTGGCAAGGAAAACAAATGAAATAAGGATTGACTCGTTCTGCCTTCTCTTCTTTCTGTTGTCAGTAATCTTCATTCCATCTACCCTCCAAGCAAAAGTCTTATCCCTTCTGTGATTCCCCATTTTCTCCATGTGTAGCTGAAAAACAAAAACTAAACCCCTTTTTGTTATCCTTTGCTTCCCTTAACAGCTTCCTTCCATTTATTGTGAGCATTAGTACTGTTGACATTTTTTCCCCCAGGACTGGGTCACTCTCTTCATTTTCTTTAACCTACTCTTGCTTTTATCTTTCATACATATCTTTTTAAGATCGAAGTTGGTTGGTGAGTTCCCTGGGTATCCAGATTATTCTCTTCAGATAAATCATGGTTTTTTTTTCTCCTTGCTAGAATTATCTCCCTTTGTATTTTCAGAAGTTCTTTGGTGAGCATCTCCTGTTTTTCTCCTTTTGGACCCTTTCCCTTTTTGAAATATCTTGAGGATAACTCTCTGGGGGCTTTTAAAAATGTATTCTTTCCAGCATCATTGTGATATGCATATTCACTGGTGAGAGACAGATTGTCCTCTTAAGGAAGCCTTAGCAGGTCAGTTTTACTGGTGCATGTATGTGAAGATAAAGTAAAATGAAAAAACCTGGAAAGGTAGTTGAAAGTCAAGTGTCATAGGGCTTTAAATTCCAGTCACTAAGAATTGGAATTTGCATTTTACCTAGAGGCAGTATGTTCAGTTCAGACTCTTTGTGACCCCCATTTTGTATTTTCTTGGCAAAGATACTGGGGTGGTTTGCTATTTCCTTGTCCGATACATTTTATAGATGAGGAAACTGCGGCAAACAGGGTCAAATGACTGGACCAGGGTCACTCAACTAGTAACTGTCCCAGATCAGATTTGAACTCAGGAAGATGAGTCTTGCTGACACCAGGCCTGGCACTCCATCCACTGTACCACCTAACTGCCCCCTAGAAGCATGAGGGAGCCATTAATTAAAGTTTTTTTTCTCAGATAACATTTAAAAAAAATTATGAACCATATAAATATCAACAAATGTACATTTCTATTTACAAAGAAGAAAAATGATGTATGTGAGCCATGAATCTTACATACAATTTTTAAAATATATATATATATGTACATGTATTCATGCATATATATTTCTGCTCTGGAACCATCTGGGTCCAGTGGCAAGATATAGATCAGGACGACTGGACATGGCCCTGGATGCAGTTTTACGTAATATTGCCCATACATGTTCTCTGCAGAGCCATGTTCAGTCGTCCTGCTCTATAGTTTGCTACTGGATTCATATGACTCTGGAAGAGAATGTGAGACTGGTGACTCGGCCTAGCCGACTCTCACTTCAGTCCGGTTCAGTTGCATGTCCTGGGCATCACCTCTCTGATGTCATAGTCCTTTTCCGAGAATGAAGGACAAACAACAACAAATAAATTTAATGAAGCATTAACCAACATTGCCTTACTTATCTTTGCTTCCTTCTGAACTTCCTTTCTGTTCTATCTTTTAAAATGTTTCATTGATGTACTTTTCTTTTTTCTTTCCATCATCAGTCCCTCATAAAAGCAAATCCACCCATTGGCCATGTCTGAAAGATGTATGTTTTATTCTTTACCTCTAGTCCCATCACCCCTGTTAAGGGAAGGGAAGCATGTTTCATGAGGTTGGTAATGCATTGATCAGAGTTCATATGTCTTTCAAAGTTGTTCTTCTTTGCAGTGTTATAGTTATTGTAAAAATCTCCTGGTTCTTCTCACTTCACTCTCTATCATTTTGTGCAAGTTGTTCCATATTCCTTTCATATGTTCTTACAGTGCATATGATATTGTTATATTCATATGCCATGATTTGTTAAGGTAATCAGTGGGTATCCCCTTAGTTTCCAGTTCTTGGATACAACAAAAATGCTTTCTCCGAGTATTTTTGTACATATAGGTCTTCTCCTTTCTTTGATCACTTTGAGGTCTATGCCTAGTAGTGATGTGAACCTAGAGATTATACCCAGTTTAGTGATTTTTTTTTGGTTTAATTCCAAATTGCTTTCTAGAATGGCTGTAGAAATTCATAGTTCCAGGAACCAATGTATCAGTATCTGTCCTCTCTCACATCCTTTCTTGCAACTGCCATTTTCTTTTTTGTTATTTTTATCAATTTTATGGTTTAAGGTGGAGCTTTAGAATAATTTTAATGTTCATTTCTTCTAGTGATTCGGATAATTTTTTCATGTTGAGTGATAGCTTGCATGTCTTTTGAGAAGTGCATATTCACATCCTCTGACCATTTATCTCTTGGCCATATTTGAAAATTATTGCCCCATTCAGCACCTCTAGTCTATCACTCTGGCAGGAAGTGGGAAATATGTTGTATCATGTGGCCTCTGGAGTCATGATTGATC